ATTTCATGAAATTTGGAGTGGGAAGGGAGGTAGAAGCTTGGGCTTAGCCTTCCTTCTGGTTCAGGCGTATTTGCAGGTGAACTTGAATTGTTCATTCCAGGAACTGCCCTCCCCCCACAACAAAGTAACATGTTAGAGCCTACAGACCCAAACCGCAAGGGGGAGCTTTCTGCTTCTTGTATCTTGTAGGTCCCTTGAATTGCTGTCCTTGTCCCTGGGTTTGAGAGATTTCATCAGGGCTGGGTTTTCTCTGAAACAGGATCTGAGGAAGTTGTTTCCCCTTCATCAGGCTTTGTTGCCATCATTGTGCATCCAAAGTCACAAATTTGTGGATGTGAGATATTGAAGTTTCCTTCCTTTTAAGAGGGGAAGACTTGGGGTATGTTGGGGTGCTACAGACAGATAACTCCAGAGCCTGGGTGGTGAGGCTGGGAGAAATGCTGAGCGCAGGTATGGACTGAGGGAACTGTGCCTAAAGGAATCTCCTTTACTCAATACATAGAAAACTTGTTAACCATTTGTTATCTTTTGAGTATTAGGCATCTTGAGATGAATTCCACATAGACCTGCTTCTAAAGAATTGTCTGTCTGGTGAGGAAGTATCATACATGCAAAAACCATATTCTGAGAATAGAGAAAATGGAGACATTAATTTCACAGGATGAGAATGGGGAGGTAGGTGGACGTGGGTGGATTTATTCAACATTTAGTTAGTGTTCTTGAGAGTCTTCTATGTTCCAGGAGCTATTCTAGGCACTGGGGGTACAGCAGGAAAAGAACAGGCAGAAATCCCTGCCTTCATGGCACTTACTTTCTAGTGAAGAAAACAGATAATAAATATGTAAATTATATAGTATATTAGGTAGTAAGAAATGTTAAGGACAAAAGTAAAGCAGGGAGTGTGTGTGTGTGTGTGTGTGTTGGTGGTAGGGGCATTGCAATTTTAGAAAGGCTGGCCAGGACAGACCTCGCTGAAAAGGTGGCATTTGGGCAAAGACCTGAAGGAAGAGAAGGGGTGAGCCGTGTAGTTACCTGGGGGAAGAGAGTTTTAGGAAGAAGGAACAGCAAGGTCAGTGCAGAAGGAGCAGAGTGAAAGGGGGACAGTATTGGAGACAAGGCCAGAGAAGAGTGGCAGCTAGATCCTGGAGGACCTTGTAGTTCATTGTAAAGTCTGTCTTTTGCTCTGAGTGACATGGGAAGCCTTTGGAGGATTCTCAGCAGAGAGGTGGTGTGAAGTAACATAAACTGTCATTTTAGAAAAGCTGCTGTGTTGAGAATAGGCTGGGGGGAGGGGAAAGGATGGGAGCAGGGAGACCAGCTTAGAAGAAATTACAGAAACCCAGGTGGCAGATGGTGGCTTGGATGGGTCGGTAACAGTAAAAGAGCAGGAGGGAGGGTGAGCTACAGAGAAGAAGAAAGTGAGGAAGATGGAAAGGTTATTCTGGGGCAGGAAAGGTATGAGCAATAACCAGGAGAAGAGACGTCAGTGCAATGGGAAGTGGTAGTTCAGTGAGGCTTATGGAGAGAGTGCACGGAGGGAAACAGGACACATGAGTTGAGAAAGTAGACAGGAGCCAAGTCATGGGTCACTGTGAGTGCTAGGTTCAAGATTTGGACCATACTCGGTAGGATCGTATGTATAGTCCTAATCCTTATCCTACGAGGTCTTAATGTACATGAGATGTGATGAAAGCTTCCTGACTTTACATCCCTGCTCATTTTGTTCATTGTGAACTCTCACCACCATTCCTTGGCTCTTCCCCATAGTCCAGGCATTTATTCAGTGAAGCATTCTTTACTCCCTGGCCCTGTGCTGTGTCCACTTCATACTCCCTTGTTTTGGAAATCTCCTAAA